ATATATAAAAATCAGTTTTTAACAATTTGTAAATAAGATCACATACGTATATTGCAACAAATAAAAGTATACAATTCTGTATATGTATTCATGTACTCTTATATGTACACATGCCGTATATTATGAACGTATTGTATTAAATACAAAAAAGACCAGAAAATCACTCTTCATTAATTTTTATATTTAATCAGGTTGAAGTGTCTGTGATTTTAAGTAGAGAAATTAAATCTTTTTGTTAACAGCAAAATATTCGATTAAGTTTTAATAATTGCAATTAGCACCATATAAAAAGAAGTTGCACGACAAAATCTTACATTTATAAGTGACAACAATATTTATTGAAAATGATTTTTAATCGACGTGTTCATTTCGTTTATTATTTCTTTAAACCATACTGTGAAACACGGGATTGTAACGACAAATTCCAGGGCCATATTCCTGGTAAGCCTTCTTTGTGTGACAGACTGTGTAAAATTCCGGATCACTGGCTAGTAACGCTCCGCCGTACCAAACAGCGCAACGCTGTTTATGATGCGATATTACACGGACATCTATTGGTTTCGGCTAGAAAATATAATAAATAAATTTATATAAGTGTGTATATACTTATGAATGTATGTGTACGTGCAGTTTATTAAAAAAATTGTCATTATCATTCGTTGTATTTACCGTAATATGACTGCCGCTTAATGTTTCACTGAGCTTGAGTCGTGTATCGACGATCTTTTTGATATCGCGTTGCAGTCGTCTACCAAAGTCTTTGAACATGGTAGAACCTCCCGATAATACAATATTACTGTATAATGGTCTCCTTACATCAATTGGGCAGTTTTGAATTACGTCATCAACGATTTCGTTGAGCGGTGTCGTAAAATCTGGATTCGAAAACTGAAAAAAAATTTATACAGAAAATGATCATTGTGTGATTACGCAAATCAAAAATAATATAGCAACGATAATTTACTTCAGGATGAAAAAATATTTCCGGTCCAAGAAATCTTTCGTATCCGACATCCACAACAAAAGGTTGTTTAGTAATATTGTTAATGCCTTCATATTTCTTAATTTTAGAGGGATCGCTATCGTATTTGGCAAACTCTTTTGATATATCTGGACATATATAACAATATTTTTCTTTAATCGATTTGGCCGTTTCTAGAGACTGCTCGGGTGGTATTCCGATCTCTCGTTCCCTCAGCAGACTTTGTATAAAATATGTAATATCACGACCAGCAATGGGAATGTGCTTTATACAACTTCCTATAACGAATCCTTCTGCCTATAAAAATGCAACGTATTGTCATCATTCTATCTTAAAAGTAGAATTCTAATATAAATTTTTTGATACATACTACTGGAATTACATGAGTTACACCATCTCCACTATCAACAACAACTCCTGTTAAGGTACGGTCTTCTACATTCTTGGCTGTCCATGAAGCTGCTAAGGCAAGGACAGCTTGAACAGCTATGTAGAGACCAGGTACATTAAATGATTCAAACATGATTTCTGCTGTATATTCGCGATTTTCCGGAGTGTTCAAAGGTGGTTCCGTTAACAGAAAATAATGATCTTCGGGTTCCGATCTGAGGTATTTGAAAATGCATTGTTGCAGAAATTTTTCCATTAAATCCCAATCTTCCACGAGTCCATGCCTCACAGGATACTGCAAGTTAAAAAAAAATAAAAACTTTATTAAGTTTATGTATCATTGAATATTACTTCAAAAAAATAACTGCGAGACAGATAAGTACTTTAACTGAATATCCAGTGGCTTCAAAAGCTTCATCTCCGATATAAGCGTCCAAATCTTCTACACCCTTTGTAATTCTCCTTGCATTATTGTCACCAACTTTAGCAGTCTCTTTGATGGCAATCGCCGACGGTATGGTCAGCTGCGGCTCTTTGTTACCCGCGAATCCTAATTTCGTGTATCTATAGAACAATTAAAGATATTAACAATATCTAATCTACGCAGAGAAAGATATCAAGCCTGTTTAACTACTATATGTGGGTGGCGAATATTCAAATACAAGTTTGATATAATTCATTTTAACATAAATTACAAATGTCTGGTACGAGAAATGCGACATATATGTACATGAATCATCGAGAAGGCGCGGTTTGTAAAACAATTATCTGAAGTAGTGCTTGTTATATCGGGTGACAGATTAGTCGCTTCCTAACTTAACCTAACCTAATCGACTCCACCCTAAGTCCTAAGTCGTTCGGTTGTTTTGCCGCTCCAGGAGTTGTACTTACCCTGTGCCCACGTCGATGACGCACGCGGGTAGACGTCCGAGCATGATTCCGATTCCACTGACAGTTTATCCCGGCGAAACACACTTATACTCCGAGATGACGGTCGCGGCTAAAACGTCGTAAACCAATAAATACCGCACCTCTTGACGCACACTATATACGGTGGCGACACTCGGTGTGTGACCTCGGAAAGTATCCTGATTCGATCTGACATCATGATCGTAGCGCCGTTTGACAGTGAAATTGGTCATTTGTTTGGTTGCATCCATGGTTGCATCTGTCATATATTCCGAGCCTTTATCTTCTCGCAAAAAGTGCAGAAAGAGCTGTTTGTTGGCTTTGCTATGTACACAACGCGTCACTGAATCGCGGAATAGGCGCGGGGATCGGGGGGCAAGCGGGGCGGTTGCTCGTAGCGCCAACGAGCGCCGTGCGAACTAACTAGTAGCAATCGGTTGTCCACAACTACGTCGTGTCGATAATGTAACTGCTCT